ACAACTTCAGGGTGAGTAAAGCCGGGTTCACACCGCGAGTGACAATGTCGCTGTGTGTCGCTAGGCTCTGTGCTGTGATTTCACTTGTGGGCATTCGTAGTGCTGTTGCTCTAATGTTATTGGTAGACTGCATGTCCTGCCATATCTATACAAAATACCATCACAAGTGATATATACAACTATATAATTTTAATTTTACTTGAAATAAATGACTTTTGAGGCTAAAAAGAAAAGTATGCTGTTGGGAGAGTGTTTTTTATATTAACACAGCAGTTTCAGTGGATTCAATCATTTACTAGATTAACGATCGATCATCAATCAAATTAAACTCACTCATACTGTCACACATTTTTAAAACATCATTCAAATTTGACAAATAATCAATTTTCTTGTCCCTAATAGTCAACGTAATACAGGGGAATTGTAAAATGAACTGCAGCAGTAGTGCTAAACATGCATCATAAAATTACAACACTCAGACTATAACGATAAATGTATGAATTAAACACACTGAGACTGTCAACAGTTTATTTTCCATGCATCATTTTATTATCCATGTATGTGGTTAGTCAAATCATAAAAACATGAAATCATCCTCGAACTCTTCTGTCTTGCCTGCACTCGAGACAGTGACGCGTGATTTCCACTGAAAGTCTCCTTTCCTATTGGTTATCGCTCGTGAAAATCGCTTCTCATTTGCATAAAGTTGAAATTTCTCAACTTTTGTCGCTTTTTTATCTTGTCGCTTGACACGCCCACATTCTGTCGCCAATGGTCACTGTCGCTTGTGTCGCCGGAAGTTGCCAGAACTCCATTGAAATGAATGGGATCATGTCACTTTGTCACTGCGTGTCGCTGCCATTGTGAACTGGGCTTTAGTGATGACAAAATTTTTGGGTGAACTATCCGTTTAAAGGACAAGTTCGGTATTTTACAATTAAAGCCCTGTTTTAAGATCGTCCCTGATGAAATAGAATAGTTAAGATTGTTTTTTAGACAAATGCTCCTGTCATGAGAATTTTTGTATTCTGTGTTAGCACCCCCCCCCCCCCCCCCCCACACCTTTATAATGAAAGCATAGGTGCACTCGAACAATCATTCATTAAAACGCATAAAACTTTAGTTTACAAAGACGTGAAACTCATCGAGTGGTCTGGGGTGTTCACTGATATGCTCACACAAAAATCGCTGCAAAATATGCTTTCCAACAGGTTTTATCGTAGTTTTTGTCCAAGTCCATTTTCTTCCTGTTTTTGGTCGAAGTCCACAGTAGTCGATTGTCGAATTTACGTGCACGATGCTTAGTTATCTAGTTACCAATGATCACGCACGTGAACTCGACAATTTACTACTGTGGACTTCGACCGAAAACAGGAAGAAAATGAAGTCGGACAAAAACTACGATAAAACCTGTTGGAAAGCATCTAAGTAAAAATATAATGAATAAATAATAGAATGTATATTTAATAAAAAGCTCCTCTCTAGAGTTAATTTCCCTAAGGAATTACCATGTTTATGGACAGTGGGTCGCTTCCCTCTGGTGAAAAGCATTGCATCTTTCAAATCATATACCTTCTGATGTTTATTTCGTGCTATAACTAGTAGT